TAGTTAAAAAATAATCAATTAAATGAGATAAAAATCCCAGGAGTAGCTATAGTTCTGTCAAAAGTGAAGTGGAAAAGGACCAATGCTTCTGGGTGAGTTATATTATATATATATATATATATATATATATATATATATATATATATATATATATTATTGATTTTTTTACAGAGAGGAAGGGAGGGGAATAGAGAGTTAGAAACATGGATGAGAGAGAAACATCCATCAGTTACCTCCTGCACACTCCCTATTGGGGATGTGTCCACAACCAAGGTACATGCCCTTGACCGGAATCGAACCTGGGACCCTTGAGTCCGCAGGCTGACACTCTATCCACTGAGCCAAACCGGTTAGGGCTATATTTTTGTTTCTTTTTTAAAATTGAATTTATTGGGGTGATATTGGTTCACAACACCATGTAGGTTTCAAGTGTACAACTCAGTAAATCGTCATCTGCCCACTGCATCATGAGCCCATCACCCCATGTAAAATCTCTTTCTGTCCCCATTTTCCCATTTCACCTATCCCATCCACTTCCCCTCTGGCTGTTACCACATTATTGTCTGGGTCTATGTCTTATGTTTATACTAGAGGCCCGATGCATGAAAATTCATGCAAGAGTAGGCCTTCCTTCCCCCAGCTGCCGGCACCTGGGACCCAGGCTGGCTTCCCTCCAGCCACCGGCAGGCACCCGGGACCTGGGCTTCCCTCCTGCCTCGGCTTTGTCCAAAAAGATGTCCAGAATGATGTCTGGAATGACATCCGGAAGGACGCCCAGTCTAATTAGCATATTATCCTTTTATTATTATAGTCGTTGTTTTTTACTTAATTCTTTTACCTTCTTTCATCTAATCCCCTAACCCCATTCCCCTCCGATAGCTATCAGTCTGTTCCATGTATTCATGCCCCCCCCCCCCCTGTCTCTCTCTGTCAGTTTATTTTGTTCATCAGATTCCACATATAAGTGACATCATATGGTGTTTGTCTTTCTATGACTGGCTTATTTCACTTAGTATAATAATGTCCAGGTCCATCCCATGCTGTCACAAAAGATGGGATTTCCTTTTATTTAATGGCCAAGTAACATTCCATCATGTAAATGTATCACAACTTTTTAATCCACTCATCTACTGATGGTCGCTTTACTCGTTTCCAAATCTTGGCTATTGTAAATAATGCTGCAATGAACATGGAGGTGCATATATTCTTTCTAATTAGTGTTATGGGTTTCTTTGGATACATTCCCAGAAATGGGATCATTGGGTCTAAGGGCAATTCCATTTTTAATTTTCTGAGGAGACACTATACTGCTTTGCACAGTGGCTGCACCAGTCTGTATTCCCACCCACAATAAATGAGGGCTCCCTATTCTCAACATCCTCACCAGCACTTGTTTATTGATTTATTGATGATAGTCACCCATCTTTATTTTTCTTTTGTTTTTACTTCTGGCATTGTCTTTTACATTCTGCTCTAATATTTCTAGTTTCAGTTCACTGTTCTTCTGGTTCTCAGTCAATTAAACTTATATACAAGTCAGTTTTTCACCTAGATTTTCAAATTCATCCATAGTGCATTGCCATGACATTTGAGCACTGATTCTTTGAGTGCTCTTCCTCAGTTTTCCTCTCATACCACAGAGGTATGATGTGAACAGTTCATGCCTTTTTCTGATGTGAACAGTTGGTGGTCAGCACCACCATTAGCTCCTGGTCTATTTTGGAAGAGAGTACAGTTTCTCCATCTCCTGCTTCCAAGTACATAGTTTGTTTGATTTCTCTCTTGGCCTTCTGATGATGTCCATGTGTACAGTCGTCTGTTCAGTGCTGTGAAGTACATGTTATGTGACTGACTAGTTGTTGGTTTCGTAGAAATCTGCAAGCTTATCTCTTGCCTCATTTCAACATTATTTTTACTTTTGTGTTCTAATCATCTATAATTATCAGCATTTCTTATTTTGATATATCATCAATTTCTTCTTTGATACTTGCGTGAAAGCTTCTGGGTCCATTTTCTTCAGCCTCTAATGGGAGTACAGACTTCAATGGTGGTTATGTTCATAGGTTTTCCTGGAAGTCTAATCTATTATTTGGTCAGATCTTGCATTGCAGTTCCTAACTGCTGTGCTACATCTTGCCATTTCATTTCTTTTGACATAATTTTGTCTTTTTTTTAAATTCATCCATGTATTTTTCTTTTTTGTTTAAACTGAAAAGCCTGAAAGAAGTTAGGCTTTATTCATCAATTTCTTATGAAATGTTTTTTCTGCTGTGTTTGAATTATTCTTTACTCAAATTTTTATTCAAATAATTTTTTCAATTTATTTATGCTTTAGAAGATAATAGTTCTATTAACAGTTGTAGGAGAGTTAAATATATGTTTTATTTAATTCATAATAAATAGATATGAATAGAACTTTTCTTCAAATGAATTTTCATTTTTAAATTCCAGGTACATTTGACTGTTATGTCATTCTAGGGAATTTAATGGTGAGCAGAAATAGTCATGGGTCCGGCCCTTATGAAGCTTACACCCTAGTATTAATTGGGGGTGGGGGCGGGTATTTTTGTGTCTTTTATTGTTTATTTAATGTTTGGCTTTTAGGTTTCAGATTTTTTAAAATGTGCATTCTTTTTTAATCTGTATTTTGAGGTTAAGAGTACAGTAGGTAAAGAGAAAGTAGGAGGGAGGATTGGTGGGATAGTCCTGATAAATTGCTTGCACTATTGGTGAGAAAGTGAACTGGTGAGCCACTATGGAAAACATCATGGAGGTTTCTAAAAAATTAAAATAGAACTACCATATCATTCAGCAATTCCACATCTGGGGATTTATCCAAAGGAAATGAAAATACTCAGATATCTGTACCCCTGTGTTCTTGCAACATTATTGATAGTAGCCAAGATATGGAAACAACCTAAGTGTCCATCGATGGAAAAAGAAAAAATCCTGCCATTTGCAATAGCATGGATGGATCTTGAGGACATTATGCTAAGTGAAATAAGTCAGACAGAGAAAGACAAATACTTTAAGAACTCACCTATTTGTGGAATTAAAAAAAGGAAAAATTGACTCATAGATACAGAGAACACTTCAGTGGCTGCCAGAAGCAGGGTAGGAATGGTGGGCAGTGTGCAAAATGGGCAAAAGTGATCAAAAGATACAAACTTTCAGTTATAAAATAAATAATTCATAAAAATGTAATGTATAGCATGGTGACTATCAGTAATAATACTCTATTGTATATTTGAAAGTTACTAAGAGATTATATCTTAAAAGTTCTCATCACAAGAAAAATATTTATAACTATGTGTGGTGATGATTGTTAACTAGACTTATCATGGTGAGCATTTCATAATATATATGGTACACTTATCAAATCTTTATATTGTATATCTGAAACTAATATAATGTTATAGATCAATTATATCATGATTAGAAAAACAACAAGATACCACACAATGTATGATGTCTATAACCAAAGAGAAAGACTACTGGGTAAGGTGTGGAGCAATTAGAGCCCTTATTAACTGCTAGTGAGAATGTGAAATGGTGCAGCCACATTGAAAAACAATCTGGCAGTTCCTCAAAATGTCAAACATAGTGTTACCAAATGACCCTAAGTGCACATTCAAGAGAAATGAAAATATGGTATGTGAAAGAAACCAGTCACAAAAGGACAAATAGTGTATGATTCTGTCTATATTTAATGTCCAGATTAGGTAAATGCATATTGACAGAAAATTTTTAGTGGTTGTCAGGGTGGGAATGGGAAGATGAAAAGTGATTGCTGATAGGTACAGAGTTTCTTTTGGGGATGACGAAATGTTCTGGATTAGATGGTAATGATTGCATAAAGCTGCAAATATACTAAAAATCACTGAGTTGTAAACTACAAAAGGGTAAGTTTTATGGTATGTAAATTTTATCACAATAAATTATTTTTATAAAAGAATAAAATAGACCCATATTGTGCTTCCTTGGCTTTGAAAGTTTATGGGTGAAATGTTTCTGATTTATCTCATGGCTACCCTGTGAGCTTTATTACAGGCCTACATAACATGAGTCTAGTGGTCTGAGTTAGGGCCCTGATTAACCATTGCTTACATTCCCTAAGTACTCTATGCATAGAATACTGCTTGGGGGACGCCAGGACTGGGCAGTAATGAAGGCCAGTAACCTCTAACCTAGAGAAGGCTTCTTCCAGGTGAGCACCATAGGTTGTTCACCAGACAGCAGGAAGCAGGTCTGCATAGTGCCTGGCTGTGTTTGGCAGTAAATAAACTAGTGACAAGGATTTTCAGCCTTATTATTTTACACAATTTGAATATTAGGTAAATTTGTTTATTGTGCTTACAAGAAGAAAGCATATGTCATTTATTTTTAAAGATTATGTTAAGACTGTTGAATATTGAATTATCCCTTTACACCCTGTGGTTAGAAATCATTTAGTTCAATATACGTTAACGACTTGCAGTATTCAGTATGCCTCATAAGAAAAAGATTATTTATATATCCCAAAAGTCATTGTTGTATCTTAAATAAAAAATAAAACAATCATTTTTAATCAGCTGTTCTTAAGCTCATTTTCTCACACTTCTCTGTGGATAAAATCAATTGGGACTCATTACAGATATGCATTCCTCAGCCCTCCCCCCAAACACTGGGCCTGTCTTTATTTTCCAGGAACACCCCAGGTGATGTCAAGGAGCTGGGCTCTGCACTTTGAGAAACACTGCCCTGGGGACTGCAGCCTAGAATTAGGACGTGAAGGGTGTGATTCTAGTGTTTTTCATTTTACCACAGATATTTATTTCTTAAGGTATTTCCATCCACTTGGTGTTAGAAATAGATGATATCCACACTTTTATTCTACTAGGAAATATTTTCTCACAAGCATTGCTTTTCTGTGTGTGTGATATTGTAAAAAATTTTTGTTAGCCATCCGCATCTTTGTTGCTGTTTCTCTTACTGTACCCCCTGCCTTCTGCTGTCACCAGATTTCTTTTGACCTGGCTGAATACACTGCGGATGTTGATGGAGTTGGCACTTTACGGCTCTTGGATGCAATTAAGACCTGTGGTCTTATCAACTCTGTGAAGTTCTATCAAGCCTCAACAAGTGAACTTTATGGGAAAGTGCAAGAAATACCGCAGAAGGAGACCACTCCCTTTTACCCTCGGTCACCATATGGTAAGAATAACTACACACTACCTGCGCATGCGCCATGCTCTCTATGGGTGTTGGCATGTGTGTTTCTGCTTTAATTCTGTTCATGTCTCATGGCTGAAGTCATTTGGGTGTGAGATTCACATTAAGATAGACTAAAGTGACTAGACTTGTTGAGAAGCATACCTTTATACATTGTTAACTACAGTGTTTGCTGCCATTGCCTCCAGGGTAAAATTATCACCTCACCTCACCAATTCATGTTCATTCAACCCTTTCATACAGATCACTCAAAGAAAATTGGACCAAACATGATTCCTTTTTCTGAACTGTTGTGCTGAAGTGATAAGATTTCGTGTTTTTTATCTCCTGATGAAAGTCTCCCTGAGTTCGAACCCTTAAAAAGCAAAAACAAAACAAAAAAATAGAATTCAGCGATAAAATTTCTAAGCAGATAGAATATTAAGATCCCATATTTTTCACTTTCTAATTCCTTAGTACTAAGAAAAAGGGAATAAAATCTAAGAAGGTCCATTTGATAGATGGCACACAGTGTAGTTGAAATCAGATTGTGAAAGAAAGAACCATGGATATTACAGAATTAAGTAATTCTTAAATATTTCCTTGTACACCTGATTAACTGGCAAAGGAACCTTTATTTTGTCTTTGGCATTTGACCCATTTTTTTCTATCTTGATACATTATAGATTGTAATTCTTGAAAGTTGTTACTTGTTTAAGATGAGTAAAAATCACTGCTTTTTAATAATAAGATACTGTCTTTTGTAATTATCACTGTCTTTTATTTGCTTTTTAAAAAATATTCCAACAGGGGCAGCAAAACTATATGCCTACTGGATTGTGGTGAACTTCCGTGAGGCATATAATCTCTTCGCTGTGAATGGTATTCTCTTCAATCATGAGAGTCCTAGAAGAGGTCAGTAAATATATCATTGGAAAAGAGAACTTAAGATTTTAATGAAACAACAAAAAATTGCATGCATATTTTGCCTTTGTAATATATCAACTGTGGAAAATGTCTCATTTGAACTATTATGAGTGTCAGAAGTGATAAAAGAAGAAAATCCAGCCTTAATTACTTATTACATTTTTTAGGTGGTATTTTTTTCTGACAAGAAAAACTGAACATTGTTCCAATTTTACCGTGTTCATTGATAGGTCTTATCAAGCATACTTTCAGCCTAAATATTAGGAAGTTTTTGTGTGAATGAAAAGGAATAAGTAGTAAATGAGTACTTGTGTCTGGAAGTCACTGTTATTTATATACTCAACTTGTGGAATCTACATATATTTTTACTTTGAATCAGTTGGATATTCAATAGGTTTTGTAAATATTCCATTTAGACAGGCATCCAGAAATTACTATGTTTCTAGAGTATATTTTAAAATATACTTGAAATCACTTCTTTAGAAAGAATGCATTCTAAAATATTGATAAAATGTACATGGTAAATACATACATAAAGAGCACAGTTATTTATTTTCATTATCAAGTACTATGTACTGTACGTATTGTATGTGGTATAGTTTTATATGACTGTCTGCGCAGTGGGCTTGCTTACCCTAGTCTCACCCACCACAGACACTTGAGTAATGTCTTGTGCTACAACACCAGTAGGTGATAGGAAATTTTTGGCTCCATTACAGTCCCATGGGACCACTGTATATGTGGTCGGTCCATCATTGACTGAAATGTCTACAGTATCTTGTGTAAAAGTCACTTTGATGATTTAGTGCCATGATTGTAAAGACATCTTTGATTAGTTCTAAGAACATTATATCATCAGCCCATTTCAGTGAGAGAGGAAAGAGCTCTGGAGAATAGGAAAACCTGGATGCTCCAATGGGCACTGTCATTAGCTGTGTTATCTGGACTGGGTCCACGACCACACTGGATCCACAACCTCCCTCACAGTTGTATTACCTCAAACTCTGCTTCTCATCTATTACCACAGTTCAGATGAGAAGTGTGGGAGCATTTTGGTTGACTCATTATCAACCATCACAGCAAGAAACTACTAGTAAATTTATATTAATGCACAAGATTTATATTTTCCCAGGATAACAGGAGAGGGCTATAGTCTCCTTCTCTGGTCAGTCTAGATCTAGACTCCTGGCTTAATTATGAATGCCACATTTCATAGACTGTTTTGAAAAATTGGAATATATTCAGAGGAAGTCAATCAGAAAGGTGACTTGTCTTATGAAGAATGCTAGCCAGACCCGGAAGAGTTTAGCTTAGAAAAGAAAAGACTACATGAGTGTTCCCAAAGCAGGTAGTTCTGGCAGCTGCTCCAGGAAAGAGACAACGACAGGGTGGGAGACAGATATCTGCTCACCTCTGAGTTTCAAACAGTAGAACAGCTGCCTTCTGAGGGGTGAGGGGACTAAAAGTTTCCAGAATGACTGGGTACCACAACATTGAAAATAATAAAAGAAGAATTCCTGTCGTAAAAGATTTGACACAAAGTTCTTCCAATTTCATGTCAGGAAACTTAGTCATTCTGTGCATTTCATGAACACATACTCTGTGAAATAAAATAAGGGGCTCTACAAATATAAGTAAAATGAACAGAATTGTAGAAGTAACAATCTCACATAAATGGGAAGAGTTATCTCTGCTTTGGATCACTGATGAACTCTAATTATGGCAGGTCAATTGGGCAAAGACATATGGAATAAAACTTTAGTGGCCCAGTGACCCAGTGGGAAAGCAGAACATACTGAAGTGAGGGTACAGGGTAGGGAAAAAGTAGGCCCATAGCTATGAGTACATGAAATACAGTTCATTCTTGTATTATTATTTATTTATTGTTGTATTATTTTTCATATAGACAACTGTAAATTCACTTCGCCCCACCCTGCATATTGTTCCTCAGTATGCCCACCGAAGATTGGTAGTATATAGTTAAACTAAATTCAGCCAGACTCTAAGTAGTTCATACAATTATATTAATATGTTCTCAGTAACCTCTCAGCAAACATGGTTAGAGGCACAGCTATTCTTAGTTCATAAGGATTACTAATCAGAGAAGTTTCTGGGTGCTAGGATTTCCCTCTGCTCTCTCCCTCTCTGCTACTAGGTATAAGGCATTCTCTAAAAAGATATCCCATAATCCTAAGTATTCTTGGTATTGCTTTGCTACAGAAGGTTAATTTCCTTTTTAACTACAAAGGGCATAGTTTTTAAGGCTAGGTCACTGATCATGAAGCATATTATTCTCTAGTTCTGAGGAAATGGGACTAAATTAATTTCCATCATCTTTGGCCAAATGTACCCCTCCTCTGGCTTCCAATATCTTATACTTAGAATCATTATCAGTTTCTTTCAAAAAGACATATTTGTTAGTATTGTCTTTTTGTCTTTTCATAGTTTTCTTTGAGACTGTTAGCAATATGGTAGGTCTTCTGTTTCAAATATTGGGTTTTAAATAAGAAATTGTTTATTCCTATACTAATTTCTGATTTACTAAATCATGAGAAATCTTTACAAACCATGTGCATTCTTTACCATTTAAAATTATCTATACAATCTAAGAATTTTTGTTAAATTTCACTATCACTTTGCCTTTTAGCTTGAGAATAAATGAGAAGTCCATGTTATAAGTTGTGTCATGCCCAACAACTAGTAATGCTTATAACTTTTTCAATGACATTTTATGTGATTATGTAGCCACATAATTAAACACTGACATGAAAAAAGGTGAAAGTGACAGGTTTGTAAGGTATCTTTAGTGTCAGTACATTTTTATTTTATGATTGTGTAGGTAAAAAATTCCCAGGGTGGGCCTTGATAGCATAAAGGCCCAGTCTGTCATCTCTTCCTCAAAAGGAAAACAATGAACAAGCAGCTAGAATAATTTTAAATTTAATTTTGTGGTTTTGGATGTTCTTAGAGGAAATGGGAAGAGGAAGGATGTGGTGATTCTTGCTTATAGCATGTGGTATGGGGGATGCTCAAGAAATCTGTTCAGATGGCCCTTGCCTTGTTAGCCACAACATGTCTATACACATAGTTTGGGTTTCCATGTTTTTTCTCCCTTTAACCTTTCTACCTGCAAAAAATAACTAAAATTCAGTTGTTTTTAGGGTAGGGAAAAATATTCTTAGTTGTAGAATGAAAAGGTAAATATAAAAATACCCCCCAAAATCCTCTACTTGCATATCTGATAACAACTATTTGTTGTCTTTGTTTATGGTAATCACTTTGTTTTTTAAAAATTCATTTTAAAATTAAAATGCCCAATTAGAAGAACCCAAATTGATGCAGCTCTTTTGGGACATATACTTTTTCTCTAATGAAAAATAATTGGCAATGCCCCCTTTGACTGCATGAATAACATTCCATGAGAATTTCTGATTTTAAAAAAGAATGGAAGAAGTATTTTTTAATATAAAGATATTTTAAACCAGAAGTTGGGAAGCTATGGCTCATGGGCCAAATCCTGTCCAACAGCCTATTTTTGTAAATAAAGTTTTATTAGAGCACAGCCATACCCAGTTGTTTACAAAGTATCTGCAGCTGCTCTCACAGTGGAATCCTGGACCTGCAAAGCCTAACATCCACTGTCTGGCCCTTTAAGAAAACATTTTCTGGCCCCAGCTTTAGAATAGTTAGATCCTCAAAAAAAACCAACAAAAAACTTTCAGTTGGGCTTAACATGGGTTTCTCACAAGCTAGCAAGATAGTCTTAAAGAAAGATTTTCAATAAATGTTAAAGTAAAAGAGAGTCAATAGTTAACCCATCCATAAACAGAATTCCTGAGCTTTTGGTCAGTCTGTTGTGCTTATTGAAGTATGAGATGTGGAAACAGATAAACTAGGAACTGACCAATGACCTGTAGCAGAGTTCAGCACAAGCCGCTCTCACTCCTCGGTTTGACTTCTCCCCATTTCAGTCCTTTGTGGTTTTCTTTTTAAGGTACTTGTTTTGTTAAAAAAAAGTTTATAATACTGCTAAAGATAGTCTGGATCACCTGCGGTTGGCACAAAATTGACCTGGGGAAAAAAATCCATTGATCTAGGGGCTTGGTCTCTGTTCCCCTCAGTCATCCATCCATCTGACCATTCTTTCAAACAAGGCAGGAGGATGCTTATGTTTTAGGTTTGCTTTCTATAAAATGAAGGCACTTCAGTAATATTGACTATGAATTAATAACAAATGATAGGTAAAATTAGCATATATGTATAGCCTTTTATATGTATAGATTCTTATATCAATAGACTACCTTGACTTGTCACAAATACAAGTTTGCTAACCTTTAAAAAACTGTAAGTAACATCAATATATTGTAAATAAAATAATATTGCAATTAAAAAACATTTTGTATGATCATGAAGAGTGAACAAAAAAGAGAGACCCCCATCTTCAAGTTTCAGCTGATAGAAAAATAAAAAAATAAACTTGACTTGATTTCCTCACTTTGATGACAATAGCACATAACAGTAAACTTTTTTTATTTAGAATGTGACTTTGTCATTTTCAAAATGAGTTCAGAATGATTCTTAGGTTCCTACAGATAGAGAGTGGTGTAGGTTTCTGAGAGATTTCTCAGTGTCTGTGTCTTGAGGAGAACGCCCATACCAGGGGTCTACTTGGTGAAAGTTCTCTGCTACCTGGTGTTGCAGGTGGGGTACCAGTGTCTGCTGGTTCACAGTAGTGGGGCCGGTTTACTTTGACTCTCACATGGATGCCGCTGGTTTTGGAGAAGAAGGCCAATTTAAGAGTTCCAGTCTTTTTGTAAGGATATTTTTCTTTTGTTGATTTACCTTAATGTGTAAGTCATTAGGTAAGTCTGGACAATATAGTAACTACTACTTCTAGAATCAACTGAAGAAGTAAAGTTGGGCTAAGTAAGCCTACTCATTGTCCTTAGTGTACTAGCAGTGAGTCACATGCCATGATTGGCTTCATC